GTGATCATATTGCAAGGGATTCATTTATTTTCAGGTCTTAGAACCCTGCGAGGGTTGGTTATGGTTGCCTTGGAAAAGCTACGGTTATGCTCGGGATTGTAGTTTAAGTTGTTTGGCGTGTTAGGAATGAGAAGAAACGATTTCGAGGACGAAATCAAATTTAAGTGGGGGAGAGTTGTAACATCCCATTTAAATATAATAATTAAATAATAAGCACGGGACCCCGAGGAGTAATATTATTATTATTATTTTATATTATTGTAGCCCAAAAATCAAATAATAATTATCGGAATGTTAGTTTCGGGGGTTAAAGGATAAATATCGGGCTTAATTTGAAAGGATCTTGGATGAAGGAGCCATATGGTAAGTATTCGGACTTGTTATGTAATGATTTTCAGAAAGGAGGGTTTAGATTGTAAATTAAGGACTTAATTTGAGAAAAGAGGAGAAGGGGGGGGGGAGGCAAGTTTTGTCAATATGGATAATAGTTTTGAAAGGAACGGGTATAAACTGTTGCATTGCCTTTCCAACCCTAACCCTAAGGAGCGGCCGTCACCTTACCATCCAGCCGCCACCATCACTCTTTCAAAACTTCCGGCGCCACTGCTCTTCCGTCGAATCACACCACCTCAGTTGGAGCCCCAAACCACCGGAGCAACCTCCCCGTGTCCATCCTAACACCAAGGAAATGGAGTTGCGGGCGTTGCTGCCATCGTTCGCTTGTTCGACTGCCTTTCAGCCTTCGCCGCCGCCCCTTCCATGGTTGCCAATGGAGCTTGCTGCCACTGCTGTACTGCCGACATGAGTCAGCCGGGAAGACTGGAGGTGCGAGGGGTTGCTTATGTCGACCGTGGAAGCACGCGTCCGCCAGCCGTTATTCTGCCATCGAACCACCGCCTGTCATCATCTTCCTTCTCCTATTTCCGTTAACCGTTGCTGCTGATGTTGGGTTTCGTTGTGGCCGTCCGCCGCCATAGGTAGTCATGGTTGTGGCCATTTGGGCTGTTGCTGCCATCATCACGCGCCACCAGGTGGGTGGCCGAGCTTATCTCGCCAGCGGAGGAGTGTGTGTCGTGTGTGTGTGTTTAGTGGTCTTGGCCGGAGTCACATGAAGGGCCACCACCACCACCGTGAGGTGGTGGCTGCCACCATGAACAGCCGCATGCCGCCATTAGGTGGCTATGTTTGTGTGTGTGCTATTAGTGAGTGTGTATGTGTTTATTAGTGTGTTTGTGTGTGTTGGTTAATTGGGGTTTAGCATTGTAATTGTAACAAAAAAGGAATAATGAAAAGAAGAACCCAAACCACCACCATAGGGTGGTGGCTGCCGCCACCGACCGCCGTGTCGGGTGGCGGTGTGCTTGTCTTGTTGTGTTTGACTCGTTTGGGGATGTTTGGAAAATGTGGAATCAAGGAAACCCTAATGGGCCCAAAGAAGCCCTAGTGGGCCCAATGGAACCCTAATGGGCCTAATGAAGATCTAATGGACCTAAAAGCCCACTCACTTGATTAATGGGCTAGTAATTAGGGTTTGGAAAACCCTAATGCCATGAAACCCTAATTTTGGGATTTATCGGGACCCGCACGTGGATTAATTATTAAACTAAAATAATAATTAATAATCATTGGCAAACTAACTTAAGGCAATAATTGACTTAATGGATTAAGTCCTTAATGGATTAAGTCCTTAAGGGGTTAAGTAAGAAACACTTAACCCTAATCATCATTTCATGTGAAAGCCCTAATCTCACTCGGGCCTTGAATTGGGCCTTCCCATTGGGCTTTGGTAATTGGCTTATTAATGGACCATCCAAGAATGATCATACATACTAGAATATGTTGATGGGCTTAGGGTAAGGCCCATATGAGGGTGTGGGCCCAATTTTCCATAGTTTGGGCCTTGATGATTATATGATATTGGGCTATACGTTGGGCTTTGGCCCATTACTTGACTATTGAGCCTTTAGTGTGTGAGTTGGACTTTGGGCTTGGAACCCAATTATTAATTGGGTGTTGTTTGATGTTGACAGTTTGAGAATCTGTCAACCAGTAGCTGGAGTTTTATCTACGGGACTTCAGCAGCGCCAGGTGAGTCATCCTCACTATATCAATAGGGTCTATGGCACCAAGGCCGACCCTTTGTGATTTATATCCTGGTTTAGGATGGTTGCCATGTTAGATTATATCCTGGTTTAGGATGGTTACTATGTTATTGCTATGATAGATTTCATCCTGGTTTAGGATGGTTGTTACGTTAGATTACATCCTGGCTTAGGATGGTTGCTATGTTATTGCTATGCTAGATTTCATCTTGGTTTAGGATGGTTGCTATACTAGAGATCAGTTAGATCGGTATCCTGGTTATAGGATGGTTGCATGTTAGCGATCTGTTAGATCTGCATGTTTACTTGTTTATATGTATGTGCACATGTTTGTTGGTTTGGGGAAATGGTTGAGGCAGGTCCTGCTGTGTGCGGTAGGCCAAGACACCCTGGGCGGACCGGGTAGACTGCAGGCCCGGGCCGGGCAAATCTAGTCAGGCCGAAGGCCCAGCGAGCGGTGCGGATAGGCTGAAGGCCCCGAGGAGGGAGGTCCAGACGTGCCGAAGGTTCGGAGAGCGGTTCAGATAGACTGAGGACTGGGATTCGGTCCAGTCATACTGATGGCTCATTATGCATGCTGTTATGTAGTTGCTGATATGATATGATTATGGTTAGTTGAGGTTGGTTTTTTGGGGGTAACTCACTAAGCCTTCGAGCTTACATTTATCGATTATTGTTTCAGGTATTCGGATGACCGTGGGAAGGCGAAGGCGTGATCGTGCACCTCCTTACATTTTTATGATTGATTCTGGGGATACTCTGATGTTTAAATTATTTTGAAAGTAAACTGTAATAATTTAATGGTTTTAAACGTTGTAAAAAGTTTTAAATTTGGCATGATTTTTATGGGTGTTACATCCAGATCTAGGCTTTCTTCCATTTCCTCAAAGTTGGTCACAACTCTCAAATAAAATTTATGCTTAAGGTAACATATTCATACCTCAAATCAATGCCCAAGACGAACTAGATGCTAGATCTAGTGTTTTCCCCTTGATACTTCTTCTTCAAGCTTGGAATCCTTCCCCAAAATCTCAAGGATAAGCTCCCAATTGATCTTACTTCACTCACAAGAGGGTGTGCGGCCGTAAACGTTCTTCTAAGGTGCCAAGGGAGGCTACTGGGGGCGGATAATGATGTTTATATAGGGGGCAAACCCTAAAATTAGGGTTTTCTTTAAACAGCTCAGACTCGCCGAGTCACCACCGTCCCGCGTTCCAGATACCCGACTCTACTCGACGAGTTGGTCCTCCAACTCGCCGAGTCCATGCATGAACCTCTCCAAATTGTCAACTTCCAGCCAATACCCGAATCGGGTGTTACACCATGCAAGTTCCACTCCATTTTTGGTCAAAAAGGGCAAAAATGTGATCTTGTTTTATTGCATGGCTTTAAAACACATTTTTTTTAGATTCGAAGATGAAACACTCTAGGGATACATGAGATTATAAAGTTGCAACCTTTATTTGAAGTCCTTTTCTCCACTTCCACCAAAACCATAAAAATGGACTAAATTGCCTAATATATGCTAGTTCTTTGAAGTTAAACCATCAAGTTAGAGATTAAACACTTAGAAAGGTCCCGGAAATACACAAGATGTTGGACCTTCTCATGAATCACTTCTCAAGCTTTAGTGGATGATACTTCTTCCTTCAAGAATGCTACCAAACAAACCAAAAAGGCTTAGCGAAGAAAAGGGAGGCTATGGTTTCGAAGAACACTTTCCCGAGGGATGGAGGTTGGGGTTGAAGAAACGCTAGTCCCATCATTCCTTAACTAGGGCTCAAAGTCCAAGCCTTATGGTTTTGAGCCCATGGCGGCACCACGCCGTGGCACAAATGGACACCACACTATGGTGACACGACAATCACCACGCTGTGGTAAGCTTATCAGCACGTCGTGGTCTGAGCCAATGGACCGAACCCTACTCTCATTCTTAATACACAAACATAAACTTATGCCAAGAATTCAGGTGTTATAATACCCCCTCAAACAAATACTTATGATTTTCCTAATCATCCGTATTAATAAATTCCTATAACATGTTTTCTCTATTACATATTTGTTAGTACCATTGTTATTCTAGATCCAATAATCACTTGTTTTTTTTTAGTTGCTTATTGAACACGTCCCAAATTTAAGTGGGGAACTTACATTTATTCCTTATTTGACTTTTGTTGTATATTAACATGCAAACATGCATACTTTATATGATTGTTTCCACAAAGAAATGTATAAGCATCAAATAATCAGAAAAGAAAGATGCAATCTTTGTGTCACATCCGTGCCTAACTTAAAATTTTTACTTTTTGTTTTAAATTCTCCAAAACTATCAAATACCTCTATTATTAGTCTTTCTAAACTCACACATATAAGTTAATCCTTAAGATGCTAAATCAAATGAATGCCGAATTAATAATGTGTACAGTATTTACAAATGAATAAATATTTGAAACCAAATATTATAAGTTTAAACAATATGTAATTAGGGTGGTTCAAATTCGCCATGAACCAAGTACGTAGACAAATAGTTAATAATTTTGGTCGAATTTTTTCTTGTATGTGTTTCTTTATAACATTAAATAATGATTTGAACCACCTTAATTACGTATTGTTTAAAATTACAATATTTGGTTTCAAATATTAATTCATTTGTAAGTACTGTACACATTATTAATTTGGCATTATTGAGGGAGGTTTTACAATCATTTATCCATTTAATCACAACTTAATAGAGAAGTAAGCTTTTTTTTTGATACTTTACGTGGTGGGTCAAACAAATCAAACCCAAAGGCATGCATGTAGCTCCGCCCCCACCAATCAGTTCATTAAAGCATCTTTGCATGATTTTTACTTGCAAACAATACAGTAATCAACTTTTTAACACCCATAAATATTCTTCTCTAATCCAACACTGAAACACACATGCATCTTTTAGTACATTGAGAAAAACATGAACAAAAGAAGCTCCTTCAGAAGATCCCAAACATTACAACCAACGAACTCTGCTCCTTTAATGGCTATGGCTATGAATTCACCACCCCAAACAAAGTCTCTTTCCATTAACTTTCCTACTTCTCCTGATCAGTCTCTTTTTGGAGAACAGATGCATCACTTCACTCACTCCCACCATCCAATCTCTCTGGTTAACCTCTCGGAGCTCTTCACCTGTTCTGGCTGCAAAGAACGTGGCGCCGGCAAGAGGTTTTCCTGTCAGGAATGTGATTTCCAGCTTCATGATTTCTGTGCTTTATCTCCTCCTCTTCTTAAAGCTCACCCCCTCCATGTCCAACATCAACTTGTATTTCATTCCAAACCAAAAACGGGTATGAGAGAAACGATCTCACTTGCGCTTTAGCTTTTCTTCGCTAACAATTTTGTTTGAATTTTGATGTTTGATGTTTGATGAAGGTGGGATTCGATGGCCGACTTGTAATGTTTGTGGCAAAGCCACGAGAGGCTTTACTTTCAGATGCAACTTCTGCCATTTCCAAATGCACCCATGTTGTGCTATGCTTTCTGACCAAATTAACTACCCATCTCTTCACAACCACCCCCTGAACCTGTTGCCGCTCTTAGCCTCCGACGACCAACTGAACTCATTCTGCAGAGAGTGCAAAAGAAAGAGATCCGGCCGCCTTTATGGATGCAGGATCTGTAACTACCTTCTTCATGCAGTTTGTGCTAAGGATCTGATCAACGGGCTTAAAGTGAATGGCATCAAGAACTCCGAGAAGCCTAGCGTGCTAGGACCTGCCGTCCGGTTTGCATCACAAGCCGTTGCTGAGTTCATTGGCGGACTGATTGACGGTATAGGAGAAGGTGTGGTGGGAGAGGCTCTGGTTCAGAACGTGACAAGGAGTGGTCGCCGTAATAGAACCAGAGGAATATAACTCGGAATTTGAAGCTGATGCATAACCTACTTTCCTATTCAATTATATTTAATTATTCATACATGGATTTGGGTGTTGGGCATTATTTACTTTAGAAAAGGTTGTACCATTTTCATTATAAATTTGTAAATCCAAAGATGGGACTAAGTAAAGTAGAAAGTAAATGTATTTTAATATACGGAATCTTATTATTATGGATCATGATTCATTTATATTACCTTATTATACACATTAAAGCCTTCTATTTACAATAAGATAGGATATGTAAATAAGTTGTTAAAATGTGCATAGGGATGTAACCGATTCTGGAATCAGTCCGAACCGAAAATCGAAAAGCTATAAAGCTTAGTGAATAACTACTAAAATAACCGTAACATAACAATGTATAGCATCAGATGTTAAAATAATTTATCACCAACAAATAAATACTATATCAAATATATTAATTTTAACATATCTACCGGGTATTATTTGATGACTCTTTATGTGACCTGCAAGTATCATTTCATCTAATTATTTTCTTATAACACCTTCAAGCTTAACCAAGAATCATCACTACAACTATACACTCTTCCCGATATACTTTATCCAAAGTCAACACAGTTATTTATTACATGCTATTCATTTCATCATATTACAACATATCATCCTTATTATTATTATTATTATTATTATTATACATATATATATATTAAAGTTACCTTGTTATTTTTTGGCAGAATTGGTCCGTGTATTATTATTGGGCTTCAAAGTTAGGAATAATAAATTTGGATGTTTTTTGGCAACTTTGCTCCTCATTCTTTAACCATTTTCACACTTTTAGTCGTTGCAATCAATATTTTTATACTTTTTAGGAACCTTTTAATATTTAAAGTTTGGCCACAAAACTTTAACGATTTGACAACTTTGATCTCTTTTCTAAAAAGTTGCAAATTCCTACCCTTTTACTTCCTTAGCCATTTTGACACTTCTGGTCATTGCAGTCAAAACTTTTACATTTTTTCATAAAAATTGGATGTTTTTTTGGTAACTTTGCTCCTCATTCTTTAACTATTTTGACACTTTTGGTACTTACAATCAATATATTTACACTTTTTAGGAACCTTTTAATCTTTAAAGTTTGGCCACAAAACTTTAACGGTTTGACAACTTTGATCCATTTTCTAAAAAGTTGCTAATTCCTACCTCTTTAATTCTTTAGCCATTTTGACACTTCTGGTCCTTGCAGTCAAAACTTTTACATTTTTTCATAAATACATGAAAAAAACGGTCCGGGGCAAAGTCCGGGCTTTTCATCCTTGCACTTTCTACGTCTGTTATGTTTATCAATTCGCAAACAACATTGAAAGCTTCTGGCCCCCGCGTAGCGGGGGTAACCTTTCTAGTTATTATTATTATTATTATTATTATTATTATTATTAAAACTATAGTACTCTTACGCCATAGATTATATAACAACGCATATCAACATATCAACAACACTAGGTGTTAAAGTAGAGTTAATTGGCTAAATAGTAGAATAATTTTTGCTTCTATCTCTGGCTTCTGTTGCCTCTTTACTTGCCACAAACTAACACCTATTCAACAAATAACGAGTTCCTCGGAACTTGCCATAACTCACCATAGACTAAATTCTATAACCAATTGTCGCCAAATTAATTAAACTCCATAATACAACTTCCGCTGACTTAACCCCGCAAGTAGTTAGCTAAATCTTACACATCCGGTGACTATTTAAAATTAGGGTTCAAAACATTTATCATTCAGACTAAGTATTTCACTGTAAGATTTATCTACTAATCTTACAATCAAATTCATAATAGCACCATATCATGAATTCTTGTAACATACTAGGGTCTAGCAACCCATCATAATTTACGCTAGAAAATACGAGAACATAACAGAATAAGAGGATACCTCAGCCCGATCAACAGCTCGTACCCTCACGTTCTCGGACTGAATCCCGACCAACGATCCCACTAATCATCTCTCCAGTTCTCCCTCTTTGATCCCTATGTGATCAAAACATCTCAAATAAAAGCAAATGAAATATATTATAATTTTGTCCGATGTGCCACAAAATCTCACACATCCGATGATGCGAGGGGTTCTAGTCGTACCACGTGTCCACCATTCTCCACGTGTCGCTCTTTGACTCATATGTGTCGTCGTGACTCACTTCATCTCTTCACCATGGTGAGGACTTGGCCATACTATGAAGGGTCGTCATTGACCATTTAACTATGACTTTCATTGGCTTTCTCGAAATACCAACACACTTTCATCTCAACTTTGAACGATCATAAATTTCTCATACGAACTCTGTTTTTGAGAAATTTTATATCCACGAAATTGTCTTCATATGACCTACAACATTCTTCAACTATATTTTTTAAACACTAATACCACTAAAATCAACTCCATGCTTTACTTTTCTTATTTGTCTTATAAATAAGTTGTACTCCTATTAACGATACATATTATGAAAATTGGTATTACCAAGGACACAAAAGCAAGGGGAATATGAGTGTAGGAATAAGAGTAAATTTTGTGATTCATGGAATGAATTTCAGTTTTTGTAGTTTTGTAACCCATGAATCGCCTTGAAAAGTCAAACTAAATTTAGCCGCAACTAAACATGTCGTGTCCTTTTTTTGTTGATTCAAAGTCGACCCCTTCACTTTGTGCTCAATTGAGGGAGTTTTATTGGAAAACTTGGTGTAGACAAAGAAAAAAATAAAGCATGGGTGGAGAAAATCAAAAATAGGGGTGGAGAAGAAGCATAAGCATATAGTGAGTTTATTTGTAATTGACTTTATTTTTTTATTAAGTCACATCATCACATTAGTACAAAAAGGACATACGGTTATTATTTTTTAAAAACAGGGTTCTCATGGTTTTGGTTAATAGTTTTATTAAAAGTCATTATTCAAATTTCAGTAACGTTTTAGTCACATATTAACTAAAAACTATCACCATTGCAAACTGTTTTCACATATTTTGTCATTGTTTCACATAAAAAAAGTATGACAAATACTAGTCAGTAGTCATGGTAGATCATTGTGAGTGTAAGTGTTTTATTATGAATTTTTTTTTAAAAAAATATGTGACTATAAGTGTTTTATGATGACAAATTAATTTTATATGTATGTCTAAAATTGATGATTTTGAAAATAAAAGGAAAATATATGACCGTAAGTTTTTTATTATGACATTTAAAAAAATAATGTAACTAAATATATTTTATAGTCACATTTTAATTTTTATGTGTATCTAAAAATAAAAATATAGTAACAATAAAAGAAAAAAACATGTGACTATAAGTGTTTTATGGTAACAATGTTAAAAGTGAAGTGTTTTATGGTGATAGAGTTAAAAGTGAAACCAATATTTGCACAAAATTCATTTTTTTGGTCATCTAAAAGGTTTAATTTTTTCCTCTTTACTGAAATTAAATTTTTTTTCCTCTTCACCAAAAATTAATTTTTTTATTTCCATCTCTAAAAAAAATTACTAATACACTCATTCTCTCTCTTTTTCTCTATTATAGTCGATGCCTCTAAAAAAACCTTGGAGCACCCTGTTTTTCTCATACACGATTACATTCATCACTGCCTCTACCGGAACTGTTAGACAGTCGACGCCAACGTCGGCGTCACCGTCCTACCTCGACTCCATTTTACTACCCTAAAGTGATCTAACCTGAAGCGACCATCGATTCAAAGTTCTATTACCTTCTTGTGTCGTCACTCCTTCAAAACAACAACACGATCCTATTGTGTGTTTAATCACAGACGCTCTTTGGTACTTCACTTAATTGGTGGCAGATAGTCTAAAGCTTCCGAGGATGGTTTTGAGGAAAAGTAGCTTGTTTTTGTTTTAATTTTTACACCACCATCCATGTTCTTGAAACCATGGTTACTTTAAGCAAGTAAACATTGGTACATTATCTATGTCATATGCTAAATATAGTTAATATTATGATTTGATGATCATTCTGGAATATTCTTTCTCTATAATTTTTTATGAAGAGAACATAGATATAGGTCTGAAGATTATTATATCGCCATATAAGGAAATAACTTTCAAGAAACGTGATGGCATCGAGTTAGTTTTTAGTAAAAAAACTAATTCTTAATCTTTACCTTCTTAATGAAACAAAAAAGGCATCTTCAGGAATATGGAACTCTTTTAATGAACTTGAAGAACTCGAATTCCAAAAGATCTGTAAAGACTTTCCTGTTCCATGTTTTGTGATAAGTCCATCTCAGAAATACTTCCCTGCCTCATTGAGTATCTTAATAGAACCAGTGAGAAGCTTTATGTCATGATCAGACCATCAAGCACCTAAATCCGTACTTGTAACGTCCCCAAAATATAGATTAAAATTTTCATTTTTACATAAATCAAACCAACCAAAAGCCAATCATGAAAAGATCATCACAGTTTCAAATGTAGTTTTCAAAACAAGACATCAAAGTATCATAAAACGATAGTGTGGAAACTCTAGTCGATGTGGTGCAATCACGTTGTGCACTTCCATGTTTTGATAAAACACCTGCAACATTTAAACTTAAATCCATCAGCACAAAGCTTAGTGAGTTCCCCAAATACCATAAACCATTACAGGAATGAGCCCCTCCCAACATACATGAAAGAGTTATAAAGACAATTTAGCATTTTACACAGTATATTGAGAAGACACACCTAAACTACTCAACAAAAGCTCAACTGTAACGACCCAAAAATCAGGGGCAAAATTTCATTTTTAATATAGTCAAAATATTGATATCATTTATTCCAAACATCTAAAACATCGTTAATTAAAAACATTTATCAGAGTTCATCCCAAAATCATTCAACGCGGAAAACATAGGTGTGTGCACTGCGATCAATCCGAGCCCATCCTTTCCAAAACGATGATACCTGAAACCAATAAACAAAACTGTAAGCACGAAGTTTAGTGAGTTCCCCAGAGCATACCCCACACAATCCACATAATCACATAATCTATATTAGCGATAAAAGCTACATAAAACATATCAATCACGTAAGCCATGCATATAAACATATAAGAATGCCCTGGAAACCCTCCACGGTCTTACTCCGGGTGCCATGGGAACCCCCACATGGTCTTAGCCCACTGTCATACCAACCATACATATAAGGATGCCCTGGAAACCCTCCAGGGTCTT